CTCTCCTGGTTCTCACATCTTCCATTGTCCTTCGGAATTTCTCGTTGATGCAAATATGATCTATCTGGTTCTCTGTAGTGTTGTCCGGTGAGATCCATGTAGCTTTGTGTTTACGCTTGTGTGGAAATATTGTGGCGCCTATGACCGATTTGTTGAATGCACACAGATTGGCAAATCTTTCTCCATTTTCGTTTCTCTCTCCCAGTCCATGTCGTCCCATAATATCTTCATATCCGGTGTTGTCTATTCCTACGTTGGCATTTAGATCTACCATCAGAATGGTGAGGTCCTTTCTTGGGCATTTCTCTATGATTGACTGCAGCCGCTCGTAGAATTTATCTTTAATGTCGTCGTTGCTATCATTGGTGGGTGCATAACATTGGATAATATTCATTGTGATCCCCTCCTTCTTTGTTTTGAATGTTTTGATGATTCTGGATCCGTGAGATTCCCATCTTACAGGTGCATTTCGTGCTACTTTCGAAAAGCATTAGAGCAACTCCCTGAGTGTGTGGAGCATTTTCCTCTTCGTGAGCGGAGTATAGCAGCATCTCTCCCGTATTTAGCCTTTGTTTTCCAGCTTGGGTTCAGTGGGTTTCGCTGATTCCCAGTACTGCTAAGTTGTATCTCCTCATTTGCGTTGCTATTTGACTGGTCTTCCCGGTCTCCCACATTATTCGGACGTTCCATGTACCGATAAAAATTGTTGCTCTGGTTGTTAGAAGGGGCATCGGTCTCCTGGCTTCCGAAGGAACTCGTCTTTCACCATGATGCGTCATAGTCCTTCTAAATGAAGACCTTCCAACTCCCAGGGCAGTGTTTAAATGGTTTGAATTATTTTTTCTGATTAGCATGTTTTTAGCGAGTTAGTTTCCTACGAGACGAGGTCGCTAACCTCATGCTCAACCCTCCTCCTTTGTCCGGGTTTGGGACCGGCAGTAACTCTAGAACAGCTACAGGTGAAGTAACCAACTTTAATTGATAATGAATTAAGGCAAATCATGGCATTTAACTTCTACATAGTGGGTTGACTGTTTAATAATGAACATGCTAATTATCAACTATGTACAAGGCTTAAAACAAGTTAATTTTTATATCCATCTTTAACTGATACCGAAGGATATATTTTCGTATGATCAAAATATTTAAATCTTAAAAACTGTAACTTGGTGCAATTTTACTAATTAATGGCAAAAAATGTTTACGTATACACAGACGTATTCATGATTAATGATAAACAGTGAATGAAATACTGATAATCATTACTAGACTTAGAGAAAATTGCAAGAAATGATATGGTGAAATAAGCACTGGAATTAAATGAGTAGTAACTGCTATCGTCTCTATCATGTACACAACGGACTAAGTATTTTTCAGTCGCGTGTAGTTATTTGTAGTCTATCACACTAAGAATAAATCCGAATATGACTTAAATATCAACTGAATTACTGGATAAAAATAGAAGATTTAAAAATGCTCAATTGTCATCTGTTGCACAGATGAAAGATATAGAATGCCAAAATGGTTTAGTATTAGATCTCAATGTGGATACACTATACATGCAAACGAGTAAATGAATGAAAAAATTCACTCTTAATAAATATAAGTTTATCGTGACCATAGTTAATAGTTCACCTGAGAACAAATTAACCTAATCAACAACAAGTTAAAGTGCTACCATTTCAAAAGAGTTGTTCATGACATATCATTTATCTACGGCATTGAAACCACAAACAACTAGATATTTTGTGCGAGGCCGAAAGTCCTGAGTTCGAATCCCTCGTCTGCGATCGTGGATGTGCACTGATCGACAGTCCCATTCTAGGACGAAACAGCCGTTTATTCCCTCCATGTTTTCGATGATTGCCTAATATTGATTTATTAATGAACAAAAAATAAATGCGAAAAAGAATGTCAACGTTTCAGTGAAGAAAATATCCTTTCATATTCTTATGCACACATCAAGTTGATGTCGCCAGTTTGAATCCACTGGTTAAATAAGATGTCGGTGACAGACAAATGACGATTGGCATGTTACCAATTGTCTTAGACGTAGAATAACTCATATTTGCTATCTGATATAAGGTCAACCTCTCTAGGAAACTTGACGATCACAAATAAAACGATTCATTATTTAAACATCGTGAGTGAAGAGATTCATAACTACCACCAGGCAGTTATACTTGATCCTTTTCATGCTATATATGATGTGCACTTGGTAGAAAAGTTATTGGATAACTTTCTATCGAGTGACCGGATTGATGCATTGAGGAAATAAAATTAGGTCAGATTATTGAGGAGGCCCAAAAAGCGCTATGTTGCGTTTTCATTGAATGTTCGTTGATATCTACAATGAAGATTATTATTGAGTCTGGTATCTACTTACAGAATGCATGACTACACATCGTAACCATAACTCACCATACACAACACGTCACCCTCAGCGATCCTTGCAGAACAGATGAGGTAACTGAATGTGTTACATCTCAAACATCTGACCCATTCACGAGAACCGCATTCGACGCTTGAACGTTGGAATAAATAGCATCCAGAACAAATATGACAATGTTCATTGTCAGGTTTTCATCAGGCTCTCGAATTACATTGGTCACTTGCATATCTACGTTTGCTCTAGCCCCTCCTTTACTGTCATCACTGAATATGGGAGCAATCCAATCTACTACTAACGTCTTATTCTACGGAACTAGGTAATATTTCTCCAGGGTTTTTATACGGCTTGTCAGCTATATGAAATGGAAATTGTTGATAGAACTCAGGAACTGGACCTGGATCAATGGGTGCAACGACGGAACCACAGTAAAAACCTGCTAATCGGCTCTAAAATTTCTCTGGCCAAAAATCCCAATGCCGCTTGAATTGAATTCTTGGGGACATTTAATGTCACTGTCTCGTACAAAGGTATTTCCTCCTTGTCGTTATTCTACGTACCATCTACACCTGTGATGATCGGTATTTGATAAAGTTCTTAAACTTCGTAAACAGGTCGTCCAGATAACCGTTATTAGCTAATGTCTCCGACGGTGTATAAATTAGAAGATGAGCACGAAATGTTGATCGCGATTTTCATTGCATCACGCACAGATCACCAAAACTATAGGCATGCGAAACAAGAATGCAAGGCCAACACCGAAATGCAAGCACGTGAGTGAGAGTGACAGTTCGCGTGTTCAGTGACTAGGATCAAAATGTACATACATTTACATAGGGAAATGAGTGAATCGTCGAAACAACCAAGCGACCAACATTAAAGCTAGCTAGCAGAATGAGTACGTGCGTAGGCATTAAGCAATGTTTAACAATATACACTAATACAAGCGCGACAATAATAATGATACAATAGTATAGATAAGTTTTTGTTGTGTAAATAACTCTGTCAGTTAAATAAGTTAAAAAAAGACTTAACCAAATTAAATGTAAAAATCTCGGTTGCATGTGAGCTGCTATGTATCCACGATATCGAAAAGTTGACGATCTACACTTCTCTGACCCACTGTTGAAAATATGGGGCAATCCAGACATCCGTCCATTTCAGGATGGACCTCAGCTGCACTTCAGAGTCTAGTGATATGTCTAATCAACATCTCAAAAAATCTGCTTATTAGTGTTAATAATCAAGGTTACACTAACCTGGAAGTTTCGATCGTTCAAATAAACGTCGCCGCATGTCGAAAATATCTTGGGCTATTATTACCTTCTCGTAATATTCATAAGCAAATTAGAAGACTACAAAAGCTGCAGTTACGAACATTAATAAAAGACGAAATCGTAATCTTCTGCTCGGATACCGAACGGGGAGAGCTGAGGTCTTTCTCATAAGTGATGTACAGAAACTCTTGATTATGATGAACTGACCATTTAGATACTACACAAAAGCCTTGAACCAGCTGAACAAATATGTAAGACTCACAACCACTACCAACAGGCGACGTAGACCGTTGGATAAAGAATTTAATTCGAAACAATTCCTCGTGTTGTTTGAGATGTTTTTGGTTTCTGTGTTTGACCTTACTTTTGTAGACGCATTTTATATACAAGTCATTTGGATTTCGATGACTGTATCATATTATCAAATATCGCAAAGTTACATTCACATCTGTCTAAAAATTTCCGCTTCTGCCAAATGAACTTACACCAACGAACATCTCTCTGGAATTCGAATCAGCCCCACTATGTGAAACAGATATAACTGATTAAAACTGACATTTCTTGACGGAATTCATTACTACTTACCCACTCTACTTAAACGTCCCTTGATAGAATTAAAGATTTTGACAGGGACTCAGTTTCTGGCAGTTTGATATAAAGCCCTACCATTGAGAATATAATTTTCCGACTGTGTCTTTAATAATAAATAACACATAATTCATTTTTGTTTTGATCGTTTAAATCTCCCCATTAATGCTTAGAACCGCAGTCGATCAATCCCGCAATAGTATGAACGCATCCTCTGTGAATTGCCTTGATATTGCCCCCACTCATAAACATTGAGAGCAGAGATATTGATGACTAACAGTGACACAACGAACAATGCAAAAATATACCAGTCCCAAGTGATAGGTTGAGTGACAATGTAAGGCGGTCATAAATACTAACGTAATCACTCTCCCAATCGATCATCTTCCATCATATGTACATTATTTGATTATTTACTGATATCTATAAATACACAATACTAGTACGTATTGATCAAATAGAAGTCGAAATTATGTTAAATGTATTTTGGTTTCATCCAAATCACATAATCAAGTTTCTCAGTATATACTACTTCAAGCTAGAAAAAATGTATCCGCGAAGAATTTTGATTTCGTAAGCCCTTTCAATATGACCGTTACTTCCACATCAGGAATCTCTTACTCATTACTGTCTTTCTTTTTATGTGAAGATCGGGACGGATATTGGGCTTTGAATGGTGCAGTACATCATTACACACACTTCACTGTGAAAACATTGACTTACCCGCTATTTTACGTTCAACCTTCATGCAAACTCTGGTAAGTTCCGTTAAGCATGATTTATTTCTATGACTGATATCTGACTCATGATCAGATCAATACACAAATCCAAAATCAATAAACTGAACGAGTAAGCTCATCAACAATGAAGATTCATGCGTCTCATGTGTCTTGTGTATCTATGAATCTGTAATAAATAAATGACCATTTCTTAAGGTCAGTAACGCTACTTGTTCATTATTTTTTTTGTTTTAAGTGAAAAGTACAAGCTATCCAGATGATTCACACTTTAGGAGTGCTGTAAATTACTACACATCTTGTATAGACAGTCCCAATGCAAGCATCCAAGTGATTGAAAACGAAGTTATTAAATTGATAATATCTCTATTCAAAGGGTGGTACTTGACAACCGATTTTGAAAACATCACTTTCACTGTCAAAGAGAATCTACTTGACGACAAAACATTCGATCTTACAGGTTTAATTTTACCTTTGTTGCTTCAAAGTGGAAGTACATCTTTATTTTCACTAAAGCTAATAAAGGATGACAACCCACACATTCATGTGAGTTACTTAGTATTAAATAGTTTGGGCTCTGAACTGTAAGACCGCGTTTTAAGTGTTCAATTTTTATATTATTTTCAAATTGAAATTATATTATTTGAAGGATTACTGGAAACAAGTTATTGTTTACTGAAGAAAACCCTCGATAAATTTTCATGGATCCTGATTTCGTCATAATGACATTTAGTCGTTTAGTCAATCGGTCAATTAATTTATGTTAGTGTGTTCTACTTATATGCACTGAAATGCTAAATTTGCAAGACCAAATCAAATTCTTAGCACAAATTCACTGAGGCATCATATTTTATGCTATATTTGCATTTGAAAATGAAAATGTGACCGATTCGAATTTCTCCTCGTTTTGTCAACGGAACCTGTCGATCAAGATATTTACTTTATTCTGTCACATTTGAATGTATCGAATAAATTAAGGTGCATGAGTTTGTTGAGTTGAAAACAACTCTCTTTTTTCTATGTGTTTGGAGACACGACCAAACTTATCATGAGATACAAACGACTGTAAAATACCATAGGCATATATATATATATATTCACTACTTATGCTGCAGTGAAAATATTTTCATAGCATCTGATTCAGTAAAATTTTCATAATGATGGTTACATCGCTCTGATCTGATTCAAAGAGCATTAGGTCGATAAATCAGATTTAAATGTGGACAGTGGTAAAATGCATACGACTTTATGGTTCGTGTTTGGTGAAACACCACAGACAGATCGTAGATCAAGTAGTAAAGGCATCTGTAAATGAAATGTTTATTTATGTTTGTATGAGTTTCCGCAGTATCATGCAAAAATCTCACACTATTTAAAAAGTAATTTGTGCTCTTGTACTGAATAATTTAAAAGATTGCTGTTGTATATCTGTCAACAGAATTTGTTTTTTTCTGAATGACAAATCTAATCTCACTTCATTCTAGTAACCAACACTTCACTCAATTTAAGTTATTAAGCTATATTCTATGTGATCACACTCTCAATGCTTAAATTATTTTTACTGTTTTCTACAACTACAACTCGATAAATCTGTGCATTTCGAGAGAGAATCCTATGTGCAGATAAACAAAAATCGAGTGATCCTTTGTATGAGTGAATCATCAATTATTTTCTAAATAGGGTCATATAATTTATCAAAGTAGGTTGTTTCTACTTTTCAAACAACAAAAGAAGTTTCTAATGGATACCATCTATTGAAATAAGTGTTTTCCAAAAAAACATTTTAGTTGCATAACATTTCATTTGGTTCCCGGTGAAAAATACAGCTGTCTTGTTTTGTATTTCAGATTTCTCCAGGTTCACTGGAAGCTTTTGATGCTGTTACTTCTAGCGTGGTAAGATTAAACTATCACGACTTATTTTTATTACAATAATCGACAAAATTTCACCATCAGTTTATTCTTGACCAGTTGTGACTTGTGATATAGAATATATAAAACAGGATGTGAAGAGTCGAAGAATTTTAGAATCGTTTTTGTGATATCCACAACAAACAAGTTATACATACATTAGTGTACAAATTTCCATAATTAAGTGTCTGTTTTCTCGTATCTCAAATCAAACGACGTACAATCTTTAAAATGGATAAGAACTTGAAAACGTGACAATAACAAGATAATAAATATGGTCAAAAAACTGTTTGCTTAGATCAGGGAAATATTCCTATGACTTATCGTAAACCAAACTAAATGCTATGGGCAATCAGTATCACCGTTTGTAATTATCCTACTCATTCTTATGAAAGTATCATATTCTATCAATAAATAACATTTCATGGGATTGGAAGTTTGTACGATTTTCTTTATTCTCAATTAACAGTCCGATGGTGAGAGCACAAGTGCAGATGAACAACTTTTCGAATATATGAAGAGAATTGGACCTGGGAAGAAAAACATTATAAAAGAAGCTTTCAGATTGCATTCTGAAATCAAACTTGTGAGTGAAGTGATCATGATTACTTCACAACTATTCGAAATTATGTTGTTATGCATTTTTTATACACTCCATTATTTTGTAGAAGATGGACGTAGTATTCAGTGATCAGTACACTCGTATTTCAGTCATGAGAATACAAGTATGAGGCCTTGGCAATCAAATAAAGTTTCAGCTACCCAGTAGTGTAAGTGTTTTTTTGGGTCGTAATAGGCGACTATCCAGAGATATAGCAGACGATAAATAACGTGACCAAACGTTTTATGTTATCGACTGAACATCAATTCAAATAATAATAGACCTCTCTTTCTCGTGAATTTCATTGGAAATTAAAGCTTTCCTCAAATTATTTTTGCCGATGTGAACAAACCCTGTCCTGTGAACTTCATGTCTGCAACGTGTTTTATTACAAAAGATTACAGTGAATTAAAATAACCCATTGTGTCATTGAATAAGAAAAAGAAAATTCAGCGAAGAAAATTTTCTTTTCGACGAAATCATTTACTTAAGCTGTACATTCGTATATGTGTTTATATTGAATGTATATGTCTATAGGTGGATAAAAAAGATTGCATCATAAATTGACTCTAGACTAAAGAACAAATGAGGTTACGCACTAGTCAAGGGGTAGGGAAGAATATAACTTATGTGTCAGATAATAGTTCAATTGACAGACACGAAGAAAACGACAAACAAAACGCTCATAATAATAAACTGAAAAATAATCACGAAAACTTGTATTAGGTAATAATAATAACTGACTAGAGTTTAAAGTTGCAAAATAATGATTAAAAAAGGTTCAATAATAATCAAATAAAAGTGCAGAAAAAACCCGAAACATACCCCTAAAGGGGATTAGGGTCAAGGAAGGATGAGAGGTTGGACGAATCGTTTCTGCGCACAAAGTTTGAGCTTGAGTTCGTATGTCGCTATTGCCTCAGAAGCGCATAAAATATTGATTCGACACCCTCTCGATCCAGTTCCTTTGATTTTGTAGATTACTTTAAAAGAAGAATCCTTTGGAACGATGTGTCCACAGTTGATTAAATGCCCCTGCATAGAACTAGTCATTGTTATACATTTTCCTTTTAAAAGCCAAGCCGGGTGGTTTTCTGAGGTGCGTTTGGAAAATGTCCGCTATAGATATATACTTTCCATATAACTATATATATAAGAATGTACAGCTTAAGTAAATGATTTCCTTAAAAAGAAAATTTTCTTCGCTGAATTCTGTTTTCGCTAGTCGATTACCGTGAAGCAAAGCTAATATTATTGATGCAGATACTTATCGTTTTCCTCCCACTGAACTCCATATATATGCTTCAATTTGTAAAATTGCACACAAGAAAATCTATAATACAAACGTCTTCAAAATTTCACTATCATTAATGACAACATATTATAGTTCACTTACATAAATGGAAAATTTCAAAACACTACTGAATATTACCGAATACCTTGGCCAGATTGAAACAACGTTTTGTGGATAAGCATCTGATAACATTGACGATACACAGATTTTATTTTAAAAGGAATGGAACAGTTGGAAACACTTGGATTTTGTTAAGATATATATTATGAAGTTTCTAACGGATTATAAACACTTATGCAACATGTTGTCATAACACTAATTTCTTTTCTTTAAAAAGTGATAACTATGATGAAGGCATTAAACAGCTGTGTTGATCTAGTTCCAAAATCCCTGGTAACACCCACTCAATAAACCAAATCAGATAATTGATTGTGATTAAACTTCGATATTATATTTATTTCAGGCAATACAACCATCTGGTCCTGATTCAGAAGTCACAATTGAGAAGTTAACGGAAATCTGTGAAATAGTGAGTTGACGCTCAAACTGTTTTTAAAATGTCACTTACATGCGAAGCACATTTCACATTCCAATCACTGAATGAATGTTAGATTCGTCAATGTGAACGTTTACTTAAGATTAGACAGTAATTTACCAGCTAGTTGACTATTAACCTTCATAAATTCTCTAATCATAAAACTAAGAAAAGAATTCACTCATTCCTTCAGCGACTTACTGTTATCGTCACATCAAAGCAGGATTATTGTGGCCTTCATTGGTGCCAAAACAACAGTCTTCACTATGATCTGTCAATTCTCAGCATTACTCCTACACTATCAATGTTGTAACGATGTCATGTAATGATTTTATTGGTCACTACCACATACATAACACTACATATACTTTGATGCTATGCATTTATTCGCACATCTCGGATCACAAATACTTACCTAATTACTTACGCCTGTCACTCCCAATGGAGCATAGACCACCGACCATGGACACAAATAACCGTTACCTAATCCCACAATATTTTCTTCGATTCAGCTACAGTTTTGTCGCCAAGGTGTTGAGTACCCTCACATCTTAAGCCTTAGAGAATAAGTAATAAAATTATTAGTATCTACCACAAGTGGAAGAATCAAAATGGTTTTAATATTGCATTTGTCTGAGTGAACTAAATCGCTCATCTGCGACTAACTTCATCAAACAATATGAATTGAACATCAATTGTTCCCCTCATCAAATTGTCACCCACTGACCCCAAAACGTCATTTATGGTGATGTTGCACTCAGAAATGCCCCGTTTGTAAAACCACAACAAATTAAACGAAGCTGATTACATATCCATGCTGGAAATGTGTTATTAAAATATAAATCTGTCTATCTGAAGGCGGTTGGAATCTAAATCCGTCTATTTCCTGAACGAAATGTCTCAGAATGGAAAATCAGGTCAGGCGAATTCACAGTATCCACAAAAGTACATTATCAATTTTCGTAAAAGTAGAACCTTTACTCAATAGACTCTTGTCTTACCATTTCTTAATACTCAGAATCGGAATTTAGGTCGACATAATGTATCCGCTTACATCAACAAATGTTTGTTACTACTTAGTCATCCATAAATCGAACTCGTAGATCTGATAAACGCTTTGTCTGTTGTTCAAAATGGTGTCTCAATTTCATCAAAGTCAACTTCTTTCAAAAGTATTATGAATAAAAATTATAGGTTCAAACTTCATACAAAATTATCTTTCAACGATAATGCAGTTAATAAGAACGGTACAGTGTTGTTTATGTTCATTGTATGCAACAAAATATATGATAACTACCGATCACGATTAGCTGAGAGACACTGATCATGTGTAGGAAATCGATTTGTGACATAAATCATTTACTGTCTTCGTAAATGTATTTCAACTTGTTATTTGTTTTGAACAGATTGATTGGAATCTTTTATTTGAGAGTGTATTCAATGAAATCAAGTATGATTCATACAAGAATATGAAAATTATTGTCTATAATCAAGATTCGTTGAAGAGAGTTTGTGATAAACACACAGAGTTTATGAGAACAGAAAAAGGAAGAAAGTAATTTCCTTTCATTATTGAATGCTACGCTTTTAGAAACGATTTGTTCTGACAAAATCCTTGTTGTTAATATTCATCTTCACACCGTTTTTCTCATTTATTGATATGATATTCAAAACAATTCAATCCAGGAAGTGAACATTAAATAAGTTGCTAAGCTTCTACATGTATTTTAATTCCAATAAAATCCACCTAATGTTTATTTACATCAAATCGCAATGCGATTTTTTCCACACTGTTTCATTGTTCAATATTATCGCTATGGAAATACGACTTTTGCTTATTCGACAATAAGTACTCTTAATTCAGCAC